GGCTGTCCTGGAACTCACTCTGTAGACCAGGCTGGCCTCGAACTCAGAAATCCTGTCTCGAAAAACCAAAAAAAAAAAAAAGCTGAACAATATTTTAGGAAGTTAAAAACTTATACCCTGAGGCTAGAGAGATGGCTCACAGGATTAAGAGTGCTTTCTTCTGGAGGACCCAAGTTTGATTCCCAGCACACAGGGGAAGCTTATGATTACCTACAATTCCAGTTCCATGGGGTTCTGTGGCCTCTGGGCACCTGCAGGCATGTGCACATACCCCTTCACACATACAATTTTAAAATAATTTTTAAATTAATTCAGTTATTAAAATAATTTAAAATTCTTCACAGCTTCCAAACTAATGTGCTCTTAAAATGTTTTATATTAAATAGCAAAGTCAAGTTGTCCTGCTAGTTTCAATCTTTAATAAAACTCATGGGTAGGAGATAAAGGTAGGCAGAGCTGCAGCAAGACACAAACTCACAACACATGCTGAGGATCCTTCAGCTTGTTACTTGTTTTGTTTTTTCTCGGTGTAGCCCCAGCTGTCCTGGAACGTGGCTCTCTTTAGACCAGACTGCCCCTGCCTCCCAAGTGCTGGGATTAAGGGAATGGGCCACCATACCCACAATTTCTAAAACTGCAAGTATAGCCACGTAATTGAGAATTATACAAATTCTTACACAGAAATTGAAATAATATAAAGTGTCTTTGAGGATTGATTCACACTCCAAATGACACAAGTAGACAGATTAAGTGTGGTATATTTCTTTCCCTGGTAGTATTGATCATTACCAATAACCAACAGTGAGCTGAACTTGTGACATTCACTTGTGAACAGCTAAGACTCTTTACACTGAGTTGATCCTAACATTAGCGGACAAACTCAAACTAGGAAAAAGTTGCTAGAAAAAAAATTAAGAGACTTTCTGGTTCTATTTTTTCAAGACAGGGTCTCATCCTAGTCCATCCTAGCCTTGAGTTACTGATCCTCCTGCCTCCACCTCTCCCACATCCCACACCCATCTAGAAGTGTTTGTGACAGGGATAATTAACTTGATGTTACCCTATGGCCTTTAAGCATCAGCTTCTTCATATTTTGAAACTTACTTTTTTTTTTTTCAACCTCACAGAGAACCACCTGCCTCTGCCTCCCAAGTGCTGGGATTAAAGGCATGTACCACCATGCCTAGCTGAAACTTATTTTTTCTTTAAAATGTAGGTCACTTTCTTGTTTGAAAGCATGGACATTCCTTTTTCTACTAGTGATCCAAACTTATACTGGGATCCAACTGCCCAGTTGCCTTTAGCAGACTCTGCCTGATCTTTACTAGGTGTGCAGCCCTGCACTAGCAGAGCAGTATGTAGCCACTAAGCAACACACACACACACACACAAAAGCTTACAAGTTGGAAAAGGACAGAAATACGACCTGTGTAGTTAACTTAGTTAAGGTGACCTTGAAAAGGAGATCTTTTATAGCCATGGTTTCATTGGAATTCTGTCAAAAAGAAACAAGGCTGAGGCTAGAGAGATACCATTCTGCTCAGTGGTTAAGAGCACTTTCTGATCTTCAAGAAGACCCAAGCTTACTTCCCAGCATTCACACGAGGTAGTTCACAACCTTCCCAGCTCCAGGGAATCCAGTGCTTCTGTCCTCCACATGTACCTGCTGTCACACACGTGCTCAAATGGACACAGCCACATGCATACAGACATACATTTAATTAAAAATAACCATTTTTTTCCTTTAAAGGGCCTCACAAAGATCCAGACTGTATTGCAAAACATCTTGATCTTTGAATAGCTTATGAAATGTTTTGTGAGAGACACTGGGTGACTTTTAGGAAGATGGTATCCAATAGTGACTTCAGATATAGTCAAGTAGACTAGAACTATGAAAATTCTTTGTAAAGGCAAGCTTTGGACTAATAAACAGTTGCTAAAGGATTAGTATTTAGAAAAAATTAAATGTATGAGTATTTTGCCTGGGTGTATATATGTATACCATATGTACACCATGTGTGTTTAGGCCAGAAGATGGCGTTGGAGTTGACAAATGTTAGTGAGTTGTTGTATGTATGGGTCCTGGGAGTTCCCTCTTAATAGAGCTAAGGAAGCAGAGGCAGAGATTTCCTTCCATTTAAGGCCAGCCCAGGGAAGAGTGAGACTATAGAAATAACAAAATGGCTGAAATCAACACTGAAAATGCATATTTACTTTATTAGCTTATGAAGATTGGTTTCTGATGTATCTTCCAGCCTTCTCTGATACTGTCTTTCTGAAGCTTTTCTACGGTAGACATCATCTGTATCAAACAAAAATTTTGCTTAGATTTTTAAGAAACAGGATTTAAAATATATATTTTTTATGTTATATGCATTGTTACCTTGACTGTGTGTGTAATGGGGGGGAGGGGATCCCCTGGAGCTGGAGTTATAGCAGTTGTGAGCTGGGAATTAAACCTGGATCCAGTGCTCTTAACTGCTGAGCCATCTCACCAGCCCTGAAACTGGGGAATTTAAAAATAGATTCTGGAGATCTGTCTTAGTGACAGAGTCTTTGCCTAGCATAAAGAGGGCCCCAAGTGCCATCTCCTACACTGAAACTAACAATCAGTAAGGTTTATGTTGAGTCTGAGATAACAGGGTAAAAAATACCTGTATCTTCAAAGAAAGACTCAGAATGATGTCCTGGTATATCTTTCTGTTCTCAAAGATTTCCTTTGCCCAGGGCTCTCTGCTGCTCCCTTTCCTAGGTCCTAAAATCTGAGTAAGGACAGAAGTAATGTTCCTTGTTCTCAGCAGCTGTTTTTCTGAACTACTCATTTTCTGCCCTCATGTAAAAAGAAAACATCTTCCTTTCTTTAAAAGAAAAACCTCTTCTTTTAGGGTTCATTTGATGGTCATCCTCTCGGTTTTTATCACTGGCTCCCAGCTTGGGTGTCTTGCCTGTTCATCTGTGCCTCTTTTGCCACCCATATTCTTGGGGGTGACGTACCAACCCCTTGGCCTCCCTTATGTCTCCAGTTATAGTGTTCTATGGGAAGAATGCTGCTGAGACTACAACTGCTTTTCCAGTCCTGGCTTTCCTGTCCTTGGAGTTCACTGCCTTCCTTTGGCCCTTTGTCTTTTCCCCCTCTTCCTGCCAAAGCAGCTGAAGTTTCTTCACACTCTACTCATTACCTTAACTCCTTGACACCCCTCCAAACTCCAACCAGAGATCACTCCAACTGCCTCACTTCTCTATTCATGCTGCCTGAGGTACCTCTATCTGAATCCATTAACATGGCTGAAAGCAGTTTCCTCGACCCTGAATGACAGCATTATCTTCCTTCACAGAGAAAGGCCACCGTAAAGAACTCTGGCTAATTTTTATGGTCGATCCCACTGAGCACTGGTACTTGTGAAGGTGGTGTCTCTCAGTTCCCTACAGCCTTCACCCAGCCACCCACCACACTTTTTCTCAGCAGATTAAATCCCAAGAATTCCTGCATGCCAAAACAAGTGCTGCACCAAGTGGGCTACAGCCCCGGTTCCAACCCCTACCTTTCTCATGAGCATTTGCATATCCTTCAGTCTCTCCTAGGGCAAGTTGTTACCTTCCATTCAGTCACATTTCCTTATCACTTGTTGTGATGGCTAGTATATGCTTGGCTCTGGAAGTGGCACTACCAGGAGGTGTGACCTTGTTGGAGTAGGCGTGTCACTGTGGATGTGGGCTTAAGACCTTCATCCTAGCTGCCTGGAAGTCAGTCTTCCATTAGCAGCCTCAGTTCCTCCTGCACCATGCCTGCCTGGATGCTGCCATGTTCCCACCTTGATGATAATGGTCTGAACCTCTGAACCTGTGAGCCAGCCCCAATTAAATGTTGTCCTTTATAAGACTTGCCTTGGTCATGGAGTCTGTTCACAGCAATAAAACCCTAAGACACCTATTTTCAAGGATAACCTTCCTGGTGTTCCTTCTGACCACTCAGAGTCACCTTAAACATGCTAAAGTTTGATGCTTCCATTACAATTTAGCTGAACATCCTGTAAACCCAAGATGTCTGGCCCAAACTGTCCTCCTGAACTTGGGACCTTTAACCCATCTCATCATGTCCTATCTTGCACCCAGGATCACCCTGCCTATGTTCTGCACCTTGAGTGGAAGTACCAGCCCTGCCCTTCTGTTCCTTGAGAAGCCTCTATGCCCCCATTTCAATTACAAGATTTATCAGCACTACCTCTAAGCTGTCTCAGGTCTACCCACTTCTTGGCATTCCTTTCAACGCCTAGACTGGGTCATCATCTCAAGTCTGGCCAAACATACACTGCCTATGTCTCAATCTCTTCAAAAAGAGACCCTTTCATCATTAGGATAGATTCTTATTGTCCAGTACTTTTATGGTCTTACACAGGGACCCCTCTATCCATATCACCCTTCACTTTCTTCATCTGCTGCAGTCCCTCAAAACAGCATTTGCTTAAGCCTCCAGGTTTCCATTACTACTGTCATGAAGTGAACTCCATAGATCTTCCCCTTATCTGGCTAACTCCTAAATGTGTCTATCTTTCCCCCAAAAGCCTTCCCCACACCATCCGATCCAATGAAGGGCCCATCCAGGATTCATTCTTAAGACTATTCACAACCCTCATGGTATGCTTAATGGTGGGGGGTAGGGTGTAGAAATGGAGCTTGGGACCATGCGAGCCAATTATTCTACCACCAAACTACACCCGTGAGCTCTTGTGCAATTTGCCTTGTTCACTAGATGTTCTGTGATGGATGGTTATTAAACATTAACTGGAGGCCTATGCCTGTAAACCCAGAAGATGACTGCAAGTTTGAAGATTCAAGGCCAGCATGGACTAACATAGTCAGGCCCTGTATCAAAGGATAGCAAGAGAAATCAATGGAGGTTTTGAAAGAACAACCTAAAATTCTCAAATGATAATTACATGAGAGACAAACAAAGGGCCCAAAGGTTGGGAGAAGGCCTGAAAGGAACTGGCCATTTCAGAGGCAGTTCTCAGAAATGCCAGACATTCTTCTCACAGTTCTGGGCCAAAGGCATAAGGACTGCGAATGACAAGTAGTAATTAGCTAGGACGGGCAAGATAACTATCTCATGAGTTTGGGCTAAAGATCTCAAAGGGCAAGGGACTTCACCTGAATTTCAGAGCCCTCAGGATTGGTCCATCTTCCATGTGCGAGTAATCCTGTTCCTTGGGCCCAAAGTCACCAGCAGAGCCAAGGACAGCCTACAAAGAACTACAGCCTCAGTAGAGGCACGTGCCCTCTTAAAATGCCAGGAGAGGAGTAGGGCTGGATGCCAATGTGAACAAAATTCAAGAGCCCCGAGGGCCTCCAGCCTTTTAGCACGAAAACTGTCAAAAGACTAACACTTGTCCTAACGCCTAAACTGAAAGTAGCTCTGCAACTGAATGGAATCAGCGGTCTGTAATCGCATACCCACGGAGAAACGCAGGCTGCTGCACCCTCACTTACAGAAGGTCTCCTGGCCCACGCGCACTTTAATCATGATCCACTCCATCGCTCCTCCCAGGACAAAAAAGAAGGGCAGGAATCTGTAGATGCCGAATCGCTGCTTCCCGGGCACTGTCTGAAGAGCTCGCCTCACCTGGGCCCTGAAGAACATGACCGAGGCCTGCAAGTGGGGTACAGGCGGAACCAGGCAAACTGGTGTTCCTGGAGGCAGTACAAACACCCGTGAGTATCCGCGGTGTCCGGTGGACTGCGCAGCAAGACTCGACGGCAGCGCCACAGCCCGGCCGCAAAACTTGGGTCGCAGAAGCCGAACCTGGTCGGCTCCGCCAATCAGAATGTGGCGGGACTCTCAGCCTTTCCAATCAGAGTGCTGTTTGAGTGCGCATGCTCTGTGCAGCGGAGCCGGCCTGAAGAAGCCTGCGCACGCGCCTAGATTCTGGAGACAGAAAAACTTCAGGGGGCGGAGTCTCCAACGTGGCGTGGCGGCCCCGCCCTCAACCTGCGCACAGCTGCTGGGACTCAGAGTTTACTGCCGCGCCCCCTACTCTGCCATCGCCATCTTTTTTTTGTAATACCCTGCCTGAGATGACGACCCTTTGTGAAGGAAATAAGCTAAAATGCAGTTACGTGACAGTCCTTCCTTTTATTTCTGTCGTGTGACTGGTTGACTTGGCTTCTAAAACAACAAAATTCGATATACATTTTTGAAAACTGAACTTTATGATCACAACAAAAAGTATAATTGTCTATAATAAACATGCTAAAATAATATAAACCTATGATAAGTGGGAACGTACCGTTATTCAGGTAACTTGTAGATGTTTCTTATGCATCACATCTGATAGTTGAAGAAGAGCACCAAGCTAGAGTAACTTCACTGTCAAACCACATCCCTATCAGCACCCTTTTAAACGGAGCCTTTCTGTGATGCTGTGAGGATTGACAATCTAAAAGAATTAATGACAGATTGTGGGTATTATGAAATATAACGCAGCGAGGAGGCCTGGCGGGCAATGCCAAGGCGTGCCTCTGAGAAATTATGCCATGCAACAGATCTGGTATGAAGGGGGTTTGTTGGGGAAGGAGTAGAGGCTGTGAGGGAACCGTATGAGCAAAGAAAGAGGGGGGTCATAAACAGCTGCCTAAGCACAGCCTGCCTTGTACCTCCTCCTGAAGGTACCTACCACCGGGAGGGCAGGCCAAGAAGAAGCCACACACAGCCGACCCCAGGCACCTGTTGCCATTTCTCTTGGTTCTGAGGACTGGAACATGTACAGTGTGCATCCACTTGGAAGAAATTCACATATGGCCAGGTCTTCACAGCCCACCTAAGTCATTGAACCTACGAGGGCTCTGCCACCTATGAGCCCACCCTTTGGTATCCATGACTACCAGTACCCAGAGCAGAATCTGGCACACCCGATCCTCAGCCTAGGTATGGGCGAACTACAAATCTACACACTACATACAACCTTAAACCCAACAGCCACGTGTGCTCAGTTGGACAGCTCACCACTAACAAGGCCCTGGATACTGGGCCAGCCTTTCCTAGTGTATACCTGCAAGCTAAGAAAACAGAAGTGGGTGGAATGAAAAGAATTTCATTGAGACAACGCTTGAAAAAAAAACCATGGCAATTCAACTGGGAGCCATCCATTTACAGCCACCAAAACCAGGAGGTGGCTGCAATGATCCTGGCCCACAGCCAGAAGAGTACGCCCAGTAGATAGGCTCCTAGTTAAGTGGATCACCTGTGTTCGGTACCAGGTAATACAAAGAAAATGCTGCCTCAGCAGACCTCAGCTGCCCATCAGGCCAAGTGCTGTTAGCCAGCTTGGGACTGGTCCTGAAGGCTCGTAGAGCTCTTGTTGTCATAGGTGAATGAGCGGTCTTGGCTCCAGTGGAACGTGCAGTCAGTCAGAAACTGGGGCAGGGGCACGAGGCCCCGGGGCAGGAGAACTTGTCTGGAAAGAATAGGACAGAAGCGCGGGGGAGGGACAAAAAGACCCTGGAGTGAAGGAAGAGCCGTACACTCGAGCACTCTTGCTCCTCGGGCCGTCCAGGGCCTCGCGGAGACCCGGGCTCTTGAGGTCTGTGACTTCCCGCTTAAAGGAGGAAAGGTGCCGCCATCGCCAACGAGATGACCAAAGGGGGGCGCAGAGCCCCTGAGCCCAGCTGGGGACAAGGAGGCGGGGGTCGGAGCCCGCCCCGCCCCGTTCCTGAGACCTCCCGCCCCCTGGGCTGAGTGGTGCGTCCATTGGCCGGGTGGACTCCGCGCGCCTCCCCCATTGGCCGGCCGCCTCGAGAAGCACGCGGCCACGGTGGCGGGCGGGCAGTCCGAGGGCGGCGGGCAGGCGGGCCAGCGGACGGGCGGAGGGCGGCCGGGGCAGCGCGCAGGGGGCATGGCGGGTGCGGGACTGCGGGCGACAGCTAGGCGCTGGCTGCTGTGCGGAGGCCACGGCCGACCGCGGGCCGCCTCGTCCTCACCCTCCTGCCCTGGCTGCGGCCCGCCGGGTCCCGGAGCCCACTGCCCCAGCACCCCGCGCTCGGCGCCCGCAGACGGCACAGACCTCAGCGCGCACTTGTGGGCTCGTTACCAGGACATGCGGAGGCTGGTGCACGGTGGGTGATGCCGGGTGGGCAGTGCGCTGTCGGTCAGCCGAAAGGTGCCCAACAGACGGCCAGGGCACCGTCCTGGGTGAAGGACGCTTGGTGGGGCTTGCCGGGGTCCCAAAACCTGAGGGCCAAATGGCGTTTTAGAAAAGGCTCCGTCGGCTTGTTAGGAGGTGCCTCTGCAGAGCACCGCTACTCCTGGGCCGAGTGGGAGGTTTTGTTTTCTGGCGGCAGGAACTTGGAACGTCTGGAGCGGTCGCTGCGCACGCGGCCCCTACGGTCTTGCTCCTGGATCCAATCTGCGGGCAGTAGCGATAGAAACCTTCCCAGTCCCTCGTTCTCCTCTGGCCCTTAGTTGCAGTGTGTGGACAAAGACTGAGCTCTGCTCACAGACAGCACGGAGTAAGGTGACACCAGTCGGACATTGCCGGCACCTCTCGGCTTGCCTCTGGCGGTCTACGGCACTCTAAACACTCAGTTGGAAGAACAGAAAAGTTACTGTAGCCCCCTTGCAATCCCGGGGGAGTTGCTATAGTCTCAGCCAGAGCTGCACAAGGCACTTCATCCTCTCCTAATCATTTCCTTGGAATGGGCTGATGAGGCAGGAGATCTGAGTGCCGAACATCTATCTGTCCATTTGTCTGGGTGGGTCTGGTGGGGCCCTGCCTCTGCAACCGATAGATGTGGTCTGGCCCCTATCACTGCCCAGCAGGGTGGCCCTTGGCCTCACATCCTCTCAAGACCCTCAGTGTTCTGTCCCAGAATTGCGTTGATGACTCAGGAAGAACAAGGCCAACCAGGAGCCTGGGGAGCTTCTGGAGGAAGCCCCAGGGGTGATGTGGCTTGCATTGTCTGGTAAGACAGAGTAGCCCTGACAGGGAGATTCCAGCTGTGACTGGACTAGGGCTTCCACTCCAGCTGTGAGGAGACCTGGACATTGGCCAGAGTTCACCTCTTGACAAGCTGCGGTCAGATTACTTGGGACCTCTGGAGAATAATTGGTCTGAGGACTTGGAATATTGCAGGGTGGACAGGATTATTTAAGAAGTCTTTGTTCTGCACTTAGAGTAGTCCCTCTGAGTGGCCTGAGAAGCCTACCTTGGAGGGTTGGGGGTGGGGTGGCACTATTGAGAATACCCTTCAGGGCTCTTCAGGCCCTTACAGGCTCTCTTAGTTCTTGTGTGCAGGCTCACTTCCACTACCATACCAGCATGAGCTTGCCTCTGAACCCTGACCCCCTCTCCAGACTAGGTTTTAGGGCCAGGGCTAGTAGCCCTTCAGAGAGCAGTGGAGAAAGACTGTCACCTACACTGCTTGGCCTCATGGGACTAGAAGGCTAGGCAGAAGAAGAATGATTAAAGCAGGCCGAGTGGCCTGAATGTGCATCTCCACTGCCAGGGTCTGGGTGGTTTGATCCAGTGCCTTTACCTCCCTGAGTTTAGTTCTTCTCTGGGCACCAACGGTGGCAGCGTGACTTCTTCATGGGATTGGAGGAGGGAAGGAGATGAGTTTTAAGACTCACAAGTGGTAATGACCAGAGCCCTAGAGCCTGAAGAAAGGAGGGCAGGGGCTAGACAGTAAAATCATAAACACGGCAGACTTCTTCTGGGTCCTGGCATATTCTCTCCCAGCTTATGCCATGCACCCAAAGCTATGATTTCTTTGGTCCAGAAATGGGTTAAGTAAGCAGGCACTGTGGGCTTCTTGCCCATCCTACTTGTTCCCAGGAGGCTTTATATGCCTCTGAGAAGACCCTTAAAAGCAGAGGCAAGATGTAGTCAGAACTCTGCAAGCTTGGACCCACAAAGACCATGTCTATGCTTCCTGACCCAGGGGTTCTGGACGCAGCCAACTAACTCATAAAGTTGACATACAGGAGTGTAGGGTTGTGGAAATATCCAGCTATGTGGGTGACTGAGGGCCAGGGTCCTCATGACAGCAAGTAAGGGGTGCCTGGGGCAGTTCTTTAGAGAGAGGTGTGTCTTGCGCATGTCCCAGTGACGATGCACACTTGGGAATCTTCAGAAGAGCTGCTCTGTGCTGGCTGAGGCCTCCAGAGAAACCAGCCACACCTGTTCCCACACCTACACCCTGTACTTGACACTAAAGGAAATGGGGGTGGAGCCCTGTGTTCCAGAGGGGCCTGTGAGGCAACAGCTCGGCACGTAGAGGAGGCGTCTGCACAGTACAGCGGCCACTAGACGTGCTGTGGAGTCAGAGAGTTTTTGCTTTGTAATCAGGATTAGCGCGGCTGACAGATTCCCTGGAGACTTGAACATCAAGTCTCTGAGACCATCCCTAGTCCTGCCTGTTCCTCTTCTGCTGCTCTAGAAGTGACCAAGGCAGTCCCAGGGCAGGGCTTCTAGCTCAGAGGCACATCTGATCCTGCATACTGTATAGGTTCAGAGCAGAAACACAAAGTAGGTTTATTCCTCTTTTAAAAGAAACTAGCCTGGAGCTAAGATCCGTTCTTGAATTCACAGATTCGAGAGGGAGAGCCTGATCCTGCCTGGCTCCCTTTCCCATCACACCATGTCCTCCTTCCCCGTCCACTTTACCCACTCTCCGCATGGGGAAGACAAGGCAGGCAAGCCAAGGGCCCCAGAACCTTCTTGGCATAGTGCAGGGCTTAGCTTCCCTCTGTGAATCTTTTTTTTTTTTTAAAGATTTAT